TGACAGAATTTAAATTTTTGGGTGAACTATTTCTTTAACACGCTCACCAGTTAAAGGCAGAGTAAGTGATTTTGGGTGGCCAATGTTGATATTTGAAATCACCAAAACAAACACGCCCCTACCCCAAAAGGGTCTTGCCCCTATTTTGATAGCTCCGCCCCACATATACGTACGCAGCCCAGGCCACGATTAGTTCTGTGAAACAAAGCAAAACCAATGTTACACCGTGTCTACGGACGTGAGCGGCGCGGCGCAACAAATCCCGACAGAAAACTGCTGCCGGGTTCTATTTATGACGTGCTGACATACATTTCAAATGGTTTTCAACGGTCGTTTGACCTCTTTCTCGCGTCCAGTGTAGGCAGACTTTAGTTGTTGTAGACACGGTGTTACTCACCTATTGAGAAGAAACAAAGCAACCTCGGCGTCCGATCGCAGGCCTCCGCTCCTTGAGTTCTCTGGAAAGCTGATCCGATATTTACACGGGTCCTACTTCTTGCCTTGTCGTTCCGCAGACGTTTTCCTCTTTTGTTTTTTATCCGCCATCTCTATCTTTCTGTCGCTCGGCTCGGCTAATGTCCGTCCCATGCACTGAAAGCTCTCTCCTCCACATCACGAGTAGACATGCCCCTTATTGCTGATTGGCTACAAGTTTGTTTTGCTATTCGGGCCGAATCAGTTTTCTAAAGTGTTTTTGAAAAATCACATACCCTGCCTTTAAACCGTAACAGCTGCTAAACGTCCTCTGGCTCCGCCTGCTGTTGTGGCCACGCCCCAAACTCACGCTATTGGCTGCTCTGATGTATGCAGATACATAGATTGACAGGCAGGCAGATCTAATCATTGCATTCGGACTGAATTCAATGACTGGATGAACATTTTACAGTCCTGAGGCTACTGAAGAAGATATAAGATGGTTATATACATTTAGACACTTTAATTGATTGCCTCAGAATGTGAACAGACTTTAAACCAGTTTAAGAAAAAATTGACTTTAGCCAGTAGGTAGGACTGTCAGTCAGGTTTCAACAAACTTTCAGTAATTCAAAAAATACAATGTATAAATGTATAAATATAAAAAAATAAATGACAAAAACGTATTACTGTGATCAGAGGACTGAATGTGTTTGTTCCTACAGATCATTCTACCTCTGATCTGTTGGATCTTTTCTGTACTCTTTTACAAAATGGCATTGACTGGTGCATTCTGGTTTTGAGTCATTGGCATAGTTTCACCACAAACATGTCAGTAAAGTTGCACCGAAGTCTCCACTGATCACAGGAGCCGTGAGGACCGATACATTAGCAAATATATAGTTTCTAATACATCTATTCATTCATATGAACGCATCATGCCAGGAGCAGCAGGGAGAGAAACACCGTTTTATCAAGAAGAACGTTCACAGAGCTTAATGTCAACGATAAGCAGTCATCTATTACACAGCAGCCCACTGGACAGAATCAACTCTTTCTTCCTACACTACAGAAAAGATTGAACCTTTACCATTCAAAAAAGTGCAAAAAATGTAAAGTGCAAATATGAACTTGAATCATTGAATTTACGCTTATTTAGTTATGTAAGATGCAGTTGTGGCCTCCATCAGTTTAAGTGAAATTCTTAACCCTAAAAACAGACTTTTTTCAATATCTTCATATTTTACAACCGTACAACCTTTAAATTTTCTCCATACCACATTCAACCTTCAAACCTCAGATAAATCAGCTCAGAACTTGGCAAATGACAAAAGCAAATGATTTAAAATGAATCTATTTGGTAAAACACATTTTTAGACCTGATCAGGTGAGGCACATGTTTATATTAATGAGGAGCATTATGTAATTAACTTTGATGCATATTGTGTTGTGTGTGTGTGTCATCAGCAACTTTTTTTTATTTCTTTCTTATAGTTGTTTTTTATTATTATTAATATTATTGTATTGTTTCGATTTTGACCATAAAAACAAACAAAACAAAAACATTTAATCCAGGCCGAAGGTTTCTGGGCTTGGTACGCAAGTTACGTAACGCAACGCAAAGCACGTGAATCTGTTTTGCGTGAGATCAGTGGTCGCGCGGAAAAACCGTTACAAACATTCAAACGCAAGCAGCGGGAGTTTTGAGCGGGAGCGGCGCGAATATCTTGAGGTAAGAAAGACAACATAACAAATATATCAAATAAACTATTTTTGAAAAGCTATGGAAATAACACGTATCTATGTCATTACATTAAGGTGTGCGTTACATAATGAATTAATGACGACGGCCACAGAATTGTAGAAAAAATTAAGCACACACGACGTGTTAATGTGGCCACAATATTAAGTCAATTTACGGCTCCGGAGTTAATTATTCCGCTTAAACCACGGTTGCTACCTCAAGACCTTTTCCCAGATGTTTTATTTGATATGTTTCAAGATTTTAGCCAGCTGATTACAGAGCACTCGTGTATAGTGATTATTTTCACCAACAGAGGTCGCTGCGAGCTTCAGAGAATTGTAGAAAAAATTAAGCACACATGACGTGTTAATGTGGCCACAATATTAAGTCAATTTACGGCCCCGGAGTTAATTATTCCGCTTAAACCACG